AGCCTCTTTCTATTTCCTCACTGTGGAGGAAGACAGCTCCAAAATGGCAGAAATTTTTAATTGACTGCTTGACAAGGGCCATCATGCACCACAGGTGTTTTCTATCTGGGCCTTCATTGCAAAATCAGTCCCTTTTCTTTCAAACTCACGCCTGTAACTTCCTTTCGAGTGCTCATCTAACCCAACACAGAACACTCTGTGTAGCTCTCTGAACTGGAAGAAAGGTCTCCAGCTGCAGTTTTGTGTACACTGCTGACTGAGGGTGCCCGCCAGGTTTGTTTGTGGATATTTTAGCTAATTATCTTGCCATAGACCGTTGAGACAGACCTGGATGACTGTTCAATTAGTAGTATTGAAAAAAGAATTAGGGAGAATTCCTGCCTGCGCAGCTAACCCCAGTGCCAACGTTATTGCTGAGAACATTTTCTTCTGAAAGTGATTAATCACATAAGTAATTCTCAGAAGTGAAATTAGAGATCACCCACACATTGCACCCTGTAATGTTTTAAGACATTATATCCTGAAACTAGTGAATTAACATTACAGTCTGGTTTGAATTCTTAGATTTTCAGCATACATCCTGCCCCGTTAGCAAGTGACCCTGTGGCCAAAATGAGTTTCTGTAACAATTTGAATTAGCCATTCTAAAAACAACACAGATTTGGAACTGTCCAGGCTTCAAGATAAAACAACATATCCCTTCTCTGAAATCCCTGACTGTGTTTAATCATGCTTGCAAGTTTGTGGCAGGGCTGGACATGAGGCTCGGGTTTTCAGATCCTTCCATCCAAGCCCCTCCCAGTTCTCTGGGTAGATGGCTCCTATTAAAGCATCAGTGTTAAGGACTTGTGTATGCTAATGAAATAGTTATTCTGTTAAATAACTGCCTCATTCTTTTCATTTATAAGGAATAATCTGAACACATGCAGATTGACATCGAAAATCAAGTTCAGTTAGGGCTGATTTATACAGATTTTCCTTAAATACAGGAATTCTAAAAGTTAGCAGAAGGAGGCAGAGGAGACAAGGATCAGAAAAACCTGAACAAGAGGTGCTTTTTAAAAATGATGGTCTTTTTAATTTAATTTAATTTATTGATCTATTTATTTTATTATACTTTAAGTTCTAGGGTACATATGCAGAACATACAGGTTTGTTACATAGGTATACACATGCCTTGGAGGTTTGCTGCATCCATCCCCCATCATCTACATTAGATATTTCTACTAATATTATCCCTCCCCAATCCTCCCACCTCCTGCTATGCCTCCCCTAGCCCCCACATCCCTGACATGTCCCTGTGTGTGATGCTCCCCTTCCTTCTTTTCTCCAATTTAAAGGCATTATCTCAGGCAAGCAAATATAAGGATCCTAGGACATTAGAGGACAAATTAGCTGTTATTTCACAGATGAAGAAACAAAGGCCCAGAGAGATTAAGTCATTTATTCACAATCACATAATTGTTTTGTGATGTGAGATGACATCTCCTATTGCATTGTGAAAGTATTCTAAAAAGAAAGGAAAATTTTGGTGAAGTTATTACTCTTTGCTCAGCATTGTTGTGGTGAAGACCAAGATGTGAAGGGATTATAAAAGAATATGAAATGAAATCAAATGTTTAAAACCCTAGTTACATGACATTTGTTAGATTTCATTGTAAATTTTAAGATACTATTATGAAAATGCTTTTCTAAATCTAGTGAAAAATTATTTATGAATTTTCAGTTTTTCCTGAATAAGAGAGCAGTCTTGAATAATTTTGTAGCTGGATGATAGCTATTTTGTGCATCTTTAGTCATGAAACTGGATGAGTGACATACACTGATAGTTTAACTCAGGGGTTCCCAACCCCCAGGCTGTGGACCTCTACCTGTCAGTGGCCCATTAGGAAAGGGGCTGCCCAGTAGGAGATGAGTGGCAGGCAAGTGAGAATTACCACCTGAGCTCTGCCTAGGAGTGTGAACCCTACTGTGAACTGCACATGGGAGGGCTCTAGGTTGTGTTCTTTACGAGAATCTAATGCCTGATGATCTGAGGTGGAACAGTTTCTTCCCAAAACCATCCCTCTATTCCCTACCCCCAAACCAGCCCATGAAAAAATTGTCTTCCATAAAAACCAATCCCTGGTGCCAAAAAGGTTGGGACCACTGGTTTAACCAATTGTGTGTTTTGGGTGGGATCTCCAGTGATTTTAAATCTCATTGAGCAATTTCTATATTGTTTTGTACTCACTTTTTCTATAATTAATAAAAATTACAAATCTAAAAAATCCTTAAAGATAAATAGTTTGGAAAATATGATCATGCTTCATATTTTCATGTTCATATGTTAACACACGAAGCTTCACACCCAACCATTTGTATTTTCTATTTTGAGGACCTTTGTGATATACTCAGAAAGCACACGATACACACTATCAATGATTCTGCAATCTTTTCACATAACAAAGAGTTATTAATTTAGTAGCTCTGACTTATGAACAGAATACTGAAGTTGTTGGTATATTGTTAAGATTGAAATAAACCTAGAGCCACATTCCCAGTTGTTGGCCAAGTTATGCACAAATCATTGAATTTTAAGAAATAATTTCCATGTGGGAAAAATTAACCTTGGAAGTAGGTAGATTTTTATTTTAGATGTTGGCCCTGCCATTTGCTAGCTTTGCAGGTTTGTGCAAAATGTAAAGGACAATGTTGGATATTAAATGAGATCCTGTATGGAAATCACCTAGTACAAAGCATGAGATATGAAATAAAAGCCTCCTAAAATGTAACTTCCGTGAGCATCATCATCAACATACCCGTCATCTGCACTCCTTTTTAGTGAAGAGCCACATAGAGCACCATTTCTTTTTTCTCATCTCTAATTTTTAATTTTTGTGGGTACATAGTAGGCATATATATTTATAGAGGATGTGAGATATTGGATACAGACATGCAATGTATCATAATCACATCATGGAAAATGAGATGTCCATTCCTTCAAGCATTTATCCTTTGTGTTACAAACAATCCAACTATATTCTTTTAATTATTTTTAAGTGTATAATTAAATTATTATTGACTATAGTCACCCTGTTGTGCTATGAAATACTAAGTCTTATTCATTTTTCTATTGGGAGGGGGGACTCATTAGCCATCCCGCCTCATCCCAACCCCACCACTATCCTTCCTAGCCTCTAATAACCATCTTTCTACTCTGTCTCCATAAGTTTGTTTTGTTCTTAGATCTTACAAGTAAGTGAGAACGTGTGGTGTTTATCTTTCTGTGCCTAGCTTATTTCACTTAACATAATGATCTCCAGTCCATCCATGTTGTTGCAAATGACAGGATCTTATTATTTTTATGGCTGAATAGTACATCATTGTGTATATATACGACGTTTTCTTCATCCATTCATCTGTTGATGGACACTTCAGTTGCTTCCAAATCTTGGCTACTGTGAACAGCATAACACAATATCTTTATGTGGCTGTAAACTCCTGCTAGGTGGCAGGGTTATTCTTGCTACCAAGTGGCTTTGGAATGGTGGAGATTCAGAGCAAAATCTCAGTGGTGCTGCTTGATGAGGGAAGCTATGGCTTTGGAGAAGCTCATCTGTGAAGTTACTAAAACTAGAGTGGGGGCTATAAGTAATGAGTAATGCAACATGTCATCTTTCCCCTCCAGACAGGTATGACCATGCGTTAGGGTACCCACCTCCCTAGAGGTGCTTAGTATGTTTCCATTGTTGATGATTGCATCCCCACCACAGACACCCTGTTTTGTTATGTGGCCCTCTCTTTAGTTTTAAATTTTTCTTTTGGAAGACAGGGATAATTCAGTTTCACTTAATGGGAATTAATCAGCAAATTTAGAGCATTCTGACCACATAATGTATAGAGACAGCACTTAAGATTATTAGTAGGCGGAATGTAATTACTTTGATTGGTATTTTTTCTAGAATGTAGAGCTTCATACTCATCCCTACCTGATGTGAAAAATGTTCACAGCCATTAATCATTGACACTGGCATGTGATTGGAAAATCTAGAAAGATACCAAATGCCAGTATGTGTACACTGATATTTAGCCTTTTGTGCATTAGAATTGTTTAGATAGAAATAAACTTCCTTTGATATTTATTGTCTTATTTACCCCAAAATTGCAGGCACTTTATTAAATAAAGTAATGGTTTCTAGTGTCGTTATGGCTGTGAAATGCATTTTAGTGCCTTTTGCTGCTATAACTCAGCACATCTATTTGTAAATCACAGAAAGTTTGTTGATGGACAGAGTGCTGAAGAGAAACACTCTCTTTTTGTCAATACAAATAACATGTATTTTAGGACTAGTATCTACTGTGTAATGTTTGCTTCGTAAGCTCAAGATTGGCCACACCCTCTAGTAATAGATTCCATTTTTAGGCTATAACAGCTTTCATTTTCAAGCACAAAATTCATATATGGGTATGCTTAGCTAAATAAATAATTTCTTAAGATAGTAAATATTTCTTTTAGCTCATTTTCTAGGAAGTCTGGTGCCTTGTTGGAAACAGACTTCTAGGAACAGAGCAGAGTTTTATGACCTTAGTTTTTGAGTGAATTAATGAACAAAATAAAGTGATATCAGTATTGGCTAGTGGGGAAGAGAGAGTGTCTGTGGCCATATATTTTAAAATATTTTTTATTACAGTTTATTTTTGCCAGTTACATTTGGGCATTTTTCAAGCATATGCATAAGGCATTAAACCTTGGTTGGGAGAAGCTCTGAATCCTTTGAGGGCAGGTATGACAAATGGTCTATCCCGTCATGGGGGTAGATAGCACCATCCTGGAATGCAAGCACAGGACTTGGAGGGCTGATAAGGGGAACACTTAATTCTGACTGTAGCTGTAATAAGAGATGATGTAACATGTCAATTAATTCAACATTTAATCTAAAATAGCTGTCAAATATATTTTTCTGGTGATAGAATCTCACTCTAATACACATTTTTTATTTTTGTATTTTCTGTTTTAGAGACGCCCAAGCAGATGGCCTGCAATGAAGTTTAGAAGAGGTTCTGGACATCCTGCCTATGCTGAAGTTGAACCAGTTGGAGAGAAAGAAGGTTTTATTGTATCAGAGCAGTGCTAAAATTTCTAGGACAGAACAGCACCAGTACTGGTTTACAGGTGTTAAGACTAATATTTTGCCTATACCTTTAAGACAAACAAACAAACACACACACACAAACAAGCTCTAAGCTGCTGTAGCCTGAAGAAGACAAGATTTCTGGACAAGCCCAGCCCAGGAAGGGTAAACAAAAAACTAAAACTTATACAAGATACCATTTACACTGAACATAGAATTCCCTAGTGGAATGTCATCTATAGTTCACTCGGAACATCTCCTGTGGACTTACCTGAAGTATGACAAGATTATAATGCTTTTGGCTTAGGTGCAGGGTTGCAAAGGGATCAGGAAAAAAATCATAATAAAGCTTTAGTTCATGAGGGATCGACACTTTTGATTCAGATGTTCTCTGATGTCTCAAAGATAACTGTTTTCCAAAGCCTGAACCTTTTCACACAAAAGAGCAGTGATGAATGTTTGAAAATTGCTAAGAAAAACAGCTCGTGCAGGAGTGAAAACAAACACAAATAAGAGATTTTCTATATTTTCAAAACAAATGTGTGGCAAAAGGATGTCGTTTTTCTGGTCTAGATCTATCTGTACGAACAAGTTCATGACTTTACAGGATGAATCCTTTTATTGATACAGGAGGTTCAGACTGTGTCTGTCTCTTTCTTGGTAATGAATGACCTTTTTATGAGCTGTGACAAAATTTCCAAACTTTTAGCTAAGGATTTGGGAAGAGGGAATGGGAAACGGGGCTTTCTGTACTCCTGCCTCAGTAAAAACATCTGATTTATGCTTTATGGAAGCCTTGCCTCCATTCCCGAACTGAGAAGTCCCATGAAACCACAGTTGCTCTGGGCTGACGGAAACACAAGGAAACAATATGAAGAGTTCCTTAATCATTTTTGAAACAAAAATGTTAAGGGATTTTAAACTTATGGTTATTTTTCATTTTATGCGGTTTCTGTACTAAAGACCCATTTCATTGCCGATTCCTGTCTCAGAAGCCATTCACGTCAGCATGGCGATAAAAAGAATGAAAAACCCTGCTGAATCATACAGTAATTTTCTTTAAAGCACATAGTAGTTACATAAATATATATATATATATATAAATATATTTTTGTTTATAACTAACACAAGGCGGGATCTTGTGACTCTAAGAGTGCATTTTGCCATCAAGACAAAACAGATGCAAGATGCATCGCTGCATTACTTCCATAGAGTTGTAAAATAATCCTTAATATTAGAATATTTTTCTGTCATTTAGCAAAAGTGGTTCAGTCATTGCCACACTCATCATGTTCTTGACTATTTGATACACTTTTTCATTCATGCCAACCCCTTCCCTCTCTGGCTAAAGTGGATGCAGAAATCTCCTTAAATGGAGCTATCTATTGCCCTGGAATCACAATCCTGACTTTGAAGATTCCCATGAATGAAGAAAGGAAAGGCATCCCTTGAGATGGAAAGTGGTTAATATATATACTGAGCTCCTAAAGTCCAAATTCAGGTACTGAGTGTACAGCTTCACCAACATCCCAACCAATGAAACGTTTACACTCTGTGCTGAGAAACTGTTGGCCTTTGAAGGTACAGTGTGCAACATTTGCAGATTCAGGTCTCAAGAAGCAGAGATGTTTCATAAACAGCATTTTCCTAGCAGCTTAGCATCTGTACACATCTGCCTTGGACATTAGTCTACTCACAGAGTACCATACTTTATCATCACGAGTGTCTGACCTGAACCAATGGCATTTTCTATTCCATATATATTGCTTTACAATTTTAAGTATTTGATGAAGGTGGTAACTTTTTCCTAACCAACTTAGTTAATTATTGCAAAAAGAAAATTGAAAAGTAAGGTGACTGAAGGATTGTGATGACAATCTTTGCAGCAGCTGTTTGGTTTAGTTGAACTATCCCCGCTTATTCTTGTAGAATAGGTTTGGTCAGACAGCAATAACCAAATGACTTGCTAATATGACTGGTGCAACTGGTATTCCATAAATGCGTAAAGAACACAAAGACGACTTCCTTTTAGGATAAAATGATGCTGCTTCAACTTGCTTTTTTGGTAGCCGTGGCTTCCAATAGCAACTGATTGACAGTTATATAAATCTTGCAGGCATATCCTTAGTTTGTGTCCCTTCAGTACTACTTAATTCTTACATGGTAATGTTATTCTTATACCCTTCAGCGTTCATCTTCTATTTTGATTCAAAATAATTGATAATTCTGTAAAAAAATATTACAAGCCCTGAATTGTTCAGTGAACCAAAAGCACCAAATAACAGAGAAAACTTTCTGGAACTAGAGTGTGGGAAAACTTCTTAACAGAACTAGGAGTTAAAGGTAGTGAGAAATGTGTGGTATATGAATTCTTTAGTGGTCAGGGGAAGTGTTGGCTAAATACCTTTCTTTCATGAAACTTTCATTCTATTTTATATTTCTGGTTTATTCTTGTGCCCATTTGAGAAAACAGATACACAGCTTCTGAAAATTCAAAATGGTCATCAATGCTTTGGAGTTTACATATATTATATATTAGAGAAGATGCAGGTGTACATTACTTAATATACTATGAACATAGCAGAGAGAACAATAACAATAAAAAACGTAAAAATAGTAAAGAGACACAACTTCTGGAGAAATCAGATAAATGGTCCTACAGAGGAATTTAGTTNAAAAAAAAAAAAAAAAAAATCAATAATCAGTGATTAGGTAAAGAGACTGAAAGTCTTTACCTATATAAATAGGTCAAGAAAATTATCTTGACCTATTTATGTCTACTCTTCCATTAGTGGAACACTAGGCTTGTGGGAGCTATATCCTACTGCTCAAGGTCATCACCAAGGTCTGATTACAAAAATTCAAGAAATTACCACCTCATGCATAAATGGGTTAAGCCCAACAGCTGGCACTGACCATAAATGGTGGCTTGTGTGTGAAAGGTTTGGACTTCTAGATATACCAACACCTAGAAAACTAAAGGTAAAGTGCAATTGACCCCCAAATACTATTTTAGTTTGAAGTATCAAGGGCATTTGTTAATCTTTCACATATAGCTTCTAGAATTGTGCTGTCCAATGTGTCCACTAGCCAGTGTGGCTTTTGAAATTAAAATTAATTAAAATTAAATTTAAAATGTAATCCTTCAGTCACACCAGGCACGTTTCAAGAGCTCAGTAGCCACACCTGGCTTGTGGCTACCATACTGGATAAGAAGAAACACTTATATCGTTGAAGAAAATTGTAATGAACAATTCTGTAGAGGTGTTACCTTCGAATTCCTTATCCTTGAAGAAAAGGGAAGAGGAGGAAAGAAAAAAGATTCGGTAGCTCTTGGGCATATCCAAGCATTTTTGATCTTAGAGAGGCCCCATGGAGTAATGAAAAAAATACTAGCTGATACAGCTTTGAGTCCCCACTGTGTTATCTTGGGAAAATCACTTCAACCTCCATGAGTCTCAATTTGCAATTCTGGAAAAGAAAAACATTTTTTTTCTGTCTTTCTTGCAAGATAATTATGCAATCTGATTAAATGTACAGATGTACAGATTCTTAAAAACCTTATGTCAATGTAACCCATATAAAGTACATCTATTAGTCCAGTACCAGCACAAATTTGCACTCAAAGGATGAATAGTTCATCAGTCCAAAAGCATTCAAAGACAATCAATCAGTCCATCACCTATCTTGAGAAAGTACCAAAATAAAATGCATTCAAAACACAAAGTAAAATTGCTTCAGCTTCTTTTCTGCGCATCTGAATTCCTTCTCTAGTATTTGCCCCATATGACATCCATCCCATCTCTTTCTCCAGTCCTATGCCAACATTGCCTATGAATATCCTTCAACTGGCTCAGTTCTTTATTGCATAGACCCACTTAGCTTCTTTAGTTTCTTGTAATTTCCCATTTTACACTTAACAGCATAGGGAGGCTTCTATTTAGAAGGCAATGTCTCAAACATAAATAATTTCATATTTATTTTATCACTATAACACTAATGTAAGAAGCTGTGGCATTAAAATATAAAAATATTTGGAACTTAATGTAGACCTTTGCACATGCAGACTATATAAAGGGAATGAAATTATTTTAAAGTATGCTAATATCCAGTTACATATTCTAAGGTTAGTATCATTTATCAGTTTTTGGCAATAAATTCTTGTGTTACATCTTCATGAAGGAATATAAATTTGATCATGTCCCTAGTGGCTGTTGCCCACTTGAGAAAACGTTTTGCTAGAATCCACAGACTGGTTCAAGATGCTCTCATTCCGTGATAGGAAATTAATATTTAAATAAGACTAATTGAAAACTATATTCTCTGGTTATAATTTCTTCCTCCTGTGAAATGTTCTTTTAGTTTGTATTTCTTTAGGTATTTTCCAGGTGTTTTATTACAATGTGTTATACTAAATTCCATAGGGTTACTCCTGCTTTTACTTCACCACTTCCAACCCCACTTTTGATATCAGCATCATATGCCATAATCACAGGAGATGCAGCCTAGACAACACAGTGAAATCCCATCTCTATCAAATATATATATATATCAAAAATATGTATATATATTCAATAGAGAAGATATGAATTATGTCATATATTGCATTATATATATATATACGTAAATTAGCCAGGCACGGTTGCCCATGCCTGTAGTCCCAGCTACTCTGGAGGCTGAAGTGGAAGGATTGACTGAGCCCAGGAGTTAGAGGCTGCTGTAAATTATGATTCTGCCACTGCACTCCAGCCTGAGCAACAGAGCAAAACCTCACCTCTAAATAAAAAAAAGAATCGTGAGACATCATGTAATCAAACCTTTTAATGTTACAGATAAGTAAACTGAGGCCCAAAGAGATACAGTAATAGTCTCAGTGTCAGTAAACTGGGTCTTGAACTTAAATGTTTGTTTCAATTCTCATTGCCTACATCTCTTAAATGTCAGCACTTAAGACCAAGCAGCTTAGACAGCACAGTCCCCGCAACACTAACTTTATTTGGTTTATTGACTATCTGCTCTGTCCTGTAACATAGAATATTGGTTCAATCTTTCTCTATCTTGTTGCTGACTTCAGAAGGCTGCTATTGTGATAACATGCAGAGATTTCAAACCCTAGTTATTGTGGGGTCTCTGTTGGGTTTTGAATTTCTCTTTTCTCCACCCCTGCCCCCATCTGTGGCTATCTAAGTTAGCAATACAATTTATTTTGGCCATGTAAAGTTTTTCTGCCTTTGCTTTATTTCTTCCCAAATGTATTTGAAAATGAACGATCTGTATAGCTGATTTTCTGACCACATATATAACTGCAATTTTTATTTGCTCTTCAGACGATTACAACTTTTTGTCCTTAGAAGATTTTTTGGGCAGATAGTACAAGGTCTGTGGTGTTAGCTTTTATATACTCCTATTACCTTATGTTTGTGAAGCATTTTATATTTTACAGGGCACTTTGATTCATCTCCCTATTTCTTAATTTATTTAACTGCTCAATTCACTGAAATTTTATTGAACACCTACTGGAACCATGCAAGTAGTGAGAGTCCAGGCATGTAACTGATCATTATAATACAATAAAATCCTCAAACCAGACTTTTCAAGTACGTAGGATCAATAATACTCTATCAGTTTTCAACTCCAATTTTCTATTCTACTTAAAAAGGGAACTAGAAAGTGTTTGCCTGAAGAATGTGTCTGAAACATAATACATCACTGCATGTCTGTGTTGTTTGCTCTGTTGGAATGGATCTGTTAATTTTATTTATGAGAAGAAAAGTTACTCAAAATTCTCCCTGACCTAGGAAGGCTTTCTAGTTCACTGCAGTCTTATTGATCAGATGCAACAGTTGAAGTTTGATTTCTTGGACCAATATTTCTATGTGGTTTTGAATAATTAATTTCACTGTTTTGAGGTATTCAGAAACACCAGTGTATCAAAAAGGCATTTGCACTTTATGTGTGTGTGGTGGTTATGTCCTTTATTAGATCATCCCAGACATAAGACAATCAGGGAAATCAGAAAACCCCAGCCTCAAATGTGTCTATAATTTCCTGTTCTACCATTGTCATGTGATAACATGATATTACTTCCTAAGGTTTTGATTAAGTTGATCTTCTAGCCTCAACTTAAATTTTAATAAATCTGCCTAATTATTGCCTGGAATAACTTTTCAGCCATCTAATGCCCATTGCTCTCACAATGATGATTATAGAGAAGTAAGATGGTAATTATTCAAGTAAAATCACATAATTTCTGGAATCAGTTTTTCATAACAAGTGTATAGAATACATCATTATTGGCTTCTCCATAATATATTTATTATGAATGACCAAATTATACCCAGAGGAGCAAAATGCTCAAACTTGTTATTATAGGTTAATTTCCAGCTCAATGTTGACACTGAAAGATTCTGTGTTACTTTAAATCCAGGATATAAAAGGCTGGAAAAAAATTAAATGCAAGTCATAGACTGGTACTCATCTTTTCCTAGTTCTAAGGCTTATTAACATTTGCAAATTACTCAGTAAATGTCTTTCATAATGGAATAACATAAAAAATTTTTGACTTTGAAGATAATGATATTTATTTTCATTCTGTTTGAAAAATATTTCAATGACTTCTCTTCATTCCACCAGAATTTTGACTTTTAACATCAGTCTCTCTTTTTCCCAGCATTGCAAATGTATATATATATATATAAAATTCATGACCAAAGTATCACTTACTGACCATGCAGCTGTAAACCTTCTGTGCCTATCAAACAAATACATAGCGTGAAACTCATTTTAGAAGTTTCATGGGGGAATTTTAGGGGGAAGTATGAACCTAGGAGTGGGTGAATGGAGGTGATT